TATTTTGACAAGCTGCAGTTCCGGTTAATTATATCATGATATAAATAGCTATAAAAAATATATATTCCTGGTCTTACTTTTATCGCTTAAGAATACTTTTTCCCTTTCAGATTTAATACTTATTACTTACTTATTATTACTTATCTAGGCTTTTTCAAAATATTTACAGAACAGATGCTTTGCAAAATTTTTTATTTTTTTTATTTTTATTTTTTTTTTTTTTATAAAAAAGAAACAGCATTTTAAAATTAATAATTATAGGAATGAAAAATTGTATAAAATATTCAACACAAAAGACGAACTTAAAGAGTGCTATATCCTCTCTTATCATAGACTAGAAAGGCGTGGGACTGATGTGCTCAGTTTGTAGGAGTCATAGTTTATCAATCAGTCCCCATAAGCCTCATGGCGCCAAATCATAATGGATTGACATCATCAAAAGCAACTCAATTCACATGATTTGTGTGCCACTCTGACTCATTTCATATCAGTTCATACAGGGTATATGAAAGCCAAATCTAAATGACATGTGCGCTTTGGGGCACACATAGAGCGAGCAGCAAAGTAAAATTAACTTCCGGCAGCATCAATCAACTTTAAGCATTCTACAACAAGAGATAGAGAAGCGATAGAGAAAAAGAGATGGAATGAATGCAAAAGAAAGAGAGGCATAGAGAGAGGCAGCTATAAAGCATCGCTGGACAGCTGTGTGTTGCAGACCGGAAATTGAAATATGAAGAGTTGATTTTTTTTTTTCGGGCATCTTTAAAATGCTCAAAAGTTTAGAAGAAACCAAAACGGAAATGAGCGGAAATTCTAGCCCAATGCCCCAATGCAATTTTGTGCGTCATTCAAGGCCAGCAAAACAGACATAGCCACAGAGAGAAACGGTGAGTTAGAAAGAGGGAGAGACAGCATAACAGCTGGCAGTAAATCAATTTTCTAAAGAGCCAAAGTGGTTGGACATTGATTGATCTGGCTGCAATCAGGCGTTAAATACGTATTACGTTTGTCATCAGCAGACAGCGAAGGGGCTTCCGTTCAATTAGACCGCAGTTATTTCAGCCTAATGACACGACTCGACTTCGCCACTTAATGAGCCAGTCGCACATTGAGCTGGAGGATTGTGTCAAAAAGTAAATTAATCGAAATTTACATAAATTTACTCAAGACATTGGCGCGTCTCTGGGCGTCGTCTGTGCCAATACCAATCGAAATACAATGCGGCTCTCCCACAAGTAATTACCAATCGAGTCCCAGACGGCGAGTAAAACAAAAGCGAGCGAAAGAGATAGGCAAAATGAGACAGTGAGAGAGAGAGAGACAGAATAAATAAAAAAAAATAAGTACAGCATGAGCTGAGCCGTTGAGATACCCTGCAAAATGGGGTTTGGTCAATTATTTTTAGATAGAAAAAATTAAATAAAATGGCTTATTTCTTGTAATATTTTAGTCTAATGAATTTAATTTTTTAATTTAATTAAGTGAGTAAGACATAGTTTTTTTTTTTTTTTTTTTTTTTTTTTTTTTAGGTTTTGTTTTTTCTTTTTTTTTTTAACAAATCTAGCTTCATAATAGTACATCCACTATTTTTTATTCAATTGATTTTTCTTGTAAAATTAGGGTTATATACAATAAGTTTGATTTACTGATTAAAATGAAAAAAAAAACTAAAGTGAAAACTTTTAAACTATGTAGAATATGTTCATACTTGATCAATTTTCTTGTAATATTTAATCAACTTTAGTAACTCATCATAGCTCTACCGTCTCATATTAACCACAGGGTATATGAAAAAACCAAACACTTTGCATCATCATTAGCTCGCAGAGAGAAAGAGAGAGAGAGAGAGAGAGAGAGAGAGAGAAGAGAGAGAGCATCGACAGTGTACACACTTTGTTAATTAGGCAAACTCTGTCAGTGTTTAATAGCTTTATAATTTCCCCGAGTTTGCCAAGGCGACGATTTTGTATGGGGTGGCCCGAGCTAAATGATTTCAAGTGAGCAAAATGAAGTAAATTAAGGCCGAATGAACATCCAGTTGGAGCGTGTTTAAATGATCAGTGGAAAAGTCTTATTTAAATTAGATTACAGCTAATGTGAGAAAGAAAATAGAATCGATTTGGTCACGCCTCAAGAGCACAGAGAATTAAATTAAATACATTAAAAAAAAACAATTTCACGCCAGTCTGGCCAAGAGCTTTGCGAAACCTTTCAGTGTCTTTCCGAACCTGGTCAGAATGAGTGCCAGCTGGATTATATTTATAATGCTTGGCGCTTCAGTACTATTCCATGGCCAGGCTCGCAAATTACGCAGATATCCCCAAGTAGATCTCTGCACCGTAGGCGTGGTAATGTTTGCACGTGTGACGTGCGAACCCTTACAACCAATCTGGGTGATGCACCACGGCCAATGCCGCAAGGGTTATCATTGCTTTCGCGGATTAACGTATAGGGAGTGTATTAATCAGTGTTACAACCGGGATCTCAGCACTAAGAGACCCAAAAAGACAACAACAACAACAACAACGACAACAACAACAACAACGACGACAACGACGACGACGACAAGAAGATTTATAATAACAAGATCAACAACGGAGAGACCAAGTGGAACGCCTTGGTTTGAAGGAACGACGACACGAAGGAGAACGCGCAGAACCCGAACAACTGCAGCACTCAGATAATCGAAAAAAAACTTAAATATATGTATATACATATATTCATATATAATCATCAAACATTACTGCACCCAAATAAATTTCACGCATTTGCATACAGATTAATTTGATTCAATCGAGCAATGAGTGAGTATATGACATTTGTAATATACCTTGGATAAGAAAATAGAAAAGCGTTATTCCCGTTTCGGTTGTCAGTTGTTAAGTGAATCCATCAACGCTATAAAACAGCTAGTGATAACAGAAAAATAAAAACAAAACAAGTTTACATATTACAGCTTATACTAATAATTGGCAGAAGAGGAAGAAGAGAGAAGCCAATTGGTCGTTCATTTAGCAATAATTGAATTGCAAATACAAATTGATACAAATTGCTGAGCTACGTACTGTGGTCGTAATTAAGCTTGAATGGGGTATAACAAAAAAGAGAGAGAGAGAGAAAGAGAGAGAGAGAGAGAGAGAGAGGGGACAAATAGAGAAAGGAGGAATTTTGTTAGACGAAGAGCAACAGATCTGAACGAAAAGGAATGGACAGACGTATATAAAGAGGTATATAAGGAGAAAGAGAGACAAAGAGAAAGGGACAGAGATAGAGAACAAAGAGAGAAAGAGTGAGAGTAAGACAGAGAGAAAGAAAAATAAAGAAACACGAAAGAGAACATCCGAGCTAAGGAGAAATAGAGAGAATGAAAGAAACATATATCGATTTCATAATACTCGTAGAATACATGAAACATGAATCATGAATTCGTCAAGGTATTTTACAATTATGCAGCAAAATTTTGGATTTATTATCTATATTATATAATATACATTCAACCGTTCAGAGAGGAACAATTTAACGAACAGGCAGAACGAAGGGCGTAAACAAATCGAATCGCCTGTTGATTGCGATCAAAGTTAATACCTGTTACATCGTATATATTCTCCAGTTTGTGAAAAGGTAAAACGCCGACAAATTCGCTTCCGCACAACGCGCAAAATTAGCAAAACTGTTAAATAAACCTAAACGCAGCTTATCAAACGCACGCAGCCGGTTCTCCATTCGCCTCGCAGTGGGCTGCGTGCCGATGCCTTAAATGATTTCACGCCCATTGCGGGAAAGAAAGAAACAGAAAAACAAACAATGGCAACATTTTCAGCATTCCAACGAGCCCAAAGCGAACAATGGACAGGAGCACAAATGAAGAGAGGGAAAAAAAAGAAAGAAAACCGTGGAGCCCAATAATCATTAGGGCACAAAAAACTTGGTCAAAAGCAAAGAATTGCGACCCGCTGGCTTTTGTCATGCATTGGGGTTGAGTGCGTTCAAGCGCACACAACTACACATACACACACACACACACACACATTGGTGGCTATTGCCAGTGCGAATATAAAGCAAAATGCCGAAATAAACACTTGTGCGAGCTTGAACGCTGCCTCCTGCTGTTAGCTGTTGTTAGCTGGCCACAAAAGGCCATATTTTCCAGCTCAACAGTGGCGTTTAGGCCACGTTTCAGTGCTCTGTGTGTGTGTGGGCGTGCACTTGTGCGCCTGTACCGGACACAGGTCATTTCACTGTCCTTATGATGGGGCGTGCCGTAACAAAACTCGCCATGTCTGCCGCCCAGACCAGCCCAAAAATGAAGATGCGCCATAAAAATGTAGACAATTTTTACGACACGGCACAACATGAGAAGGGCCACTTTATTTCTTCATTAAAAATCCAGCATTGATTGCCCRCACACCCACACACACACACAGACACTTACACACACACAGAGAGCAAGCACATACCTTGGCACACTTTGGCTGGAACAATAGCAATTTGATGGCCTTTAATTGTGAGCAGACATGATTCCTTTTGACTTAACTGCCACACGCAAAGACTAGCACACTCACACACATACACAGACCCAAAAAGTGTAAAGTAAATAAATTGTTAATTTATAATTTAATCAATAATATTTCATATGTCCTTATGCTGGAAATGGTCGAATATTTAAATGTACATAAGAAAATAAATAAAATAAATCAATTTACATTCATCCGAGCACAATTGCGCGTTGAGCTGTAAAAAGTCTAGGAATTGAATATAAATACATACATATATATTTATCAATAATATATAAAGGCATAGAGCAGACCCATAGCTCTGTGGGGTATATATGTWTATAAAATATTATATACCCTGTAAACATATTTGTATTTTAAATATTTATTTATGATTATTATTGTTAT